TTGCACTCTTGCTGTGTAAAAGCTATAGCCTAAAAACGTCTATTCTCACATGCTTTTGATAATACGATATTTAATTACACACAGCTGTGGCTTAGGGGACTGCTAGAAACCAATTTTAATGTAGTACTTGAAGCCAATTTTGAATAAACTTCAACCATTTAAACTGAATTCAAAGTTTGACACCAAAAAAAAAAATTGTTTTAACGGACAGGACCGGTTCTCCGAAGTTGGCATAGCTGTAACTGTGATAGAGCCACATCACAGCCAAAAAAAGATTGATGATGACAAACAGGATTGTGTAAAATCACATCAGTGCAAAAATGAAGCTTTCCAGAATTTCTGAGACAAAAAAGACCTGAAACGACCTTGCATCTTCCCTTCTCCGTTTTTTGTGTACTCGCTGCCCCCCAGCAAACTGCCCCTACTCCCAGCCTTCAAATTTGATTATTTCATAGAAGTAACTTACTTTTATAATTCTGCTACATTTTTGTTTTAAGTCTGGAGAAAATGAAAGGAAAATGTGTTGGGACAATGTTATTACGATATGTCGATTACCCCTTAAGTTTGGGCTTTTTTGTTGTTGTTGTTTTCATTTTACTTTTATTTACAACCAATTAGCATTCTGTACCTTCAAAAATGGCACAAACAAGATTTATTTTCGTTTCAAGTTCTCCTCTTCACTCTCCCCCCCCCCCCCGTGAAAGAAAATATTTGGAGTTGTACCTAAAAACTCCGTGTGCGAACCCGTTTTGTGTGTTTCAAGGGAAAACAGAACTCAGGAGTTTTCAAGGCTGTTTTAAAACAACTGGCAAGTTACCAACTCTGGCTATCGATGCAAATCTGAGGCAGGAAGTACTACGGAAACTCTAGACTCATTCCGCCTTCCACCAGACTGCCTACATTTTCATGTGTAAGGAGCGTGCGCAGGGCTTGCTTTGTTTTGCTCTTGCAGCCGTCCCACGTTCACAGCTTTAGGAATCTTGTCTTTGCTCTGCCTACTCACTCTTTTTGTTTTGCCAGGCTTTGCTCTTTCTCAGACACAACCCAGGGATCCAGCTCACCCTAGGGAACTGTGTGGCAATCCAGGCTACAGATGGGTGAAAATTTTGTCTGCGATCAGTGTGCACTTTGAGTAACTCCTTCAACCTGCCCTCTTCTTCACATTGGGCTTGGAACACCCTCTGAGGACCACCTGCCAGAGCACTCTGAGATGCTGTCTGCTCTGATGTCCCATTCTACAAGACCTTGTGGGAATCAGACGGCCCAGGGAGGGAGCTCAGCACACTGATGTCACAGCAACGTCATCAGAAACTGGGCACAGATTGGTAGAAACACATCGAGCTGTTAAGCATGTGGAAAGGAAGCAGAAACCTGATGTGTGTGATTTTTGGGTTTGTTTTTTTTTTTTTTTTGGAAAGTTTTATGATGATGACTGCCGTTTTCCAAACATCACATTTGAGAGAAAAATAAATTTGTCAACAGCGAAGTATCAATTCACAGGGTTTTGGCCATGTTCAGACTTTGTCAATTCATTTTTCCAAAAAGGTCCACCAAGAATACCAGAAACTCAAAAAGGAGTTCACCTTGAATCTTGTAATCCAACAGCAACAGGTTTTTATTTTATTATTTTTGGTTTGATTTTGTTTTTGAAAAAGGCTGCAACAAAATTCCTGAAAAAAAAAATATTAGGTGATGGCTACTAACCAAACACCATTTTTACATTTTATTATTAAACTAATGAACCATTTCTTGAACTTCCTTTTCTAAAATACAATGATTATTTTGTGCGGTCTTTCAAACAGCAACCTTGCTTTGATAAGCTTCTGAAAAACAAAATTACACATATGCCTTGCTTAAATTTTTTTAGTATGTCACTAACATCTCTTTATTAGTCCTTGTTGAGACGGCTTCTTCAGGGAGGGAAAAACTGATCTAAATGAAAACAAATATCACCTTTGTGAGTTAGGAGTTGTGAAAAAGTGAGCAATAGTAATAGTAGTTACAAATGACAGGTCCAAGTCCGTCACTGGATCCTTAACTTACATGTACATTTTTCTCTGATAAAACATTCTTAGCATTTGAACAAGTATTCAAAGAAATCCAGAATAAGCATCTCATGTCTACTTTTTTTGTTTGTTTTTTGTTAAGGAAACAAAGTTGAGAGATCAGATCTGATGCCGGGGGAATAAGAAGAGAAAGAAGATAAGGGAGGTGACACAAGTTTGCTCAGAGTTTTTCACACACTGGGGAGAAGGGAGACCATGTACGTTTATTTTTGAAAGCCCTTTTTCATTTTGTTTAATCATAGGAAAATAGCAACAAGACACATATTTAAGGAGAGGGTTCCACATTCTTACAGTTTCTGAATGGAGTAAAACAAAAAATAAAATAAAATAAAATTGATTCTTTAAAATCCCAAGATTTCTTCTCTAAAACTTATGTTTCCCCAAGTTGTTCTTGTAGATTGGGAAACAAAGCAAAACATTCCAATTTAGACCATTGTAGGCATGATATCACTAGAATATGATTTTGATCAAGCATAAAATTTCTATATTTGATCAACCCTAAGTATTCTTCATGTATTTGCATCATTTTAAATAGCTATGACTTTAAACTTGCATTAGAACTACAAGCCAAACCTGAAACGGTGGATTTTTTGAATTCCACCCAGCCTTAACCAAATAAATATAAGCAGCATGCACTTCCTTTAAGATTATATTTGGAGATATAAATGTAGATGGGGGCAAAAGGTGATAATAGCGGAAACCACGGGGTTGATTTCCTGTTAGACCAGGGACTGACAGCACTTTATAGTGTAGCATGTAACCAGTGTGAGAGCAGCAACGTTTTAACAAATGCGTGCATCATGACCCTCTCTGTAACTTCCTCTGTACCCACCTTTCCAAACAGGCCAAGTTTTCACAACTTCAGCCTATGGAAACATTATTACTGACTGACATTTTATAGATACGGTAAGTATATTCAGCAACTTTACAACACTGTTGAAATTTTACAGCATGTTAATCAGTTTGAGCTATCCTTATAGCCAGGGTAGTGTGTCTTACAATCCCTGCTATCTTAATCTGGTAACCTATCAGTGAGGGATGCTTAAGGAATCGGACTTCTTTACAAATATTCTAGAAGTTGATGGCTTTGGTTAACTTGAAATTAACAAGATCCAGATGCCAGTAGTCTACGCAGCACTATATTACATCGGACCCAAAAACAGATATTGTTTAGGTTCCCTTTATGCTTTTCAGTCTCTCTATTTTGATAGTCACCACCCCGCTAACTTCACACACACACACACACACACACACACACACACACACACACACACACCCTCTACCACTGCAGTTCATCCAGTACCCCACGCCTTTGATAGGATATGCCCAGCATTCATAATTTCTTGGTAGTAATCTCAAGCAGAAAAACAATGATTTCATTCATTTCAACCTGAAGTTCCTTTTCTGAGTAGACATCATAGTAGAAAATAAGGACCAAAAACCAAGCATGGTTTTGGAAACATTTGGAAATTTTTAGTCAAATGAGTAAAAGGGATGGAATGTTCAACATTTTCCATGTAACCCTTGAGGTGATTAATTTTGTTTCTTCGGAGGATGAGAAATGACTGTAAATTGCCCCCTTTTGAATACATCCTTGCATGGCCATTTACTTAAAGAATGGCAAAAAGCACTCCCTACCCTAACCCTCTGAAGAGTTAAACTCAACGCACTGAGCCGGAAGGTTGGTCTACTGAAACAGCAGCAGCACAAACTAAATGCTCTCAAAGGTGAGAAGCAATGTGAATCGACCTTGGAGGGGCAGGGAGGACCACGGAACGCAAGGATCATGAACGCAATGCTGCAAGTCTGAAGCCCCGTCTGGTCTACAAGTAGGCATTGTATGAAGAGACAGAACACGTAGGAGACAACTACAGCATGAATGACCAAACCCTAATCACATCACTGATCCTGTTGACAGCACAGAGCTCTAACACAGCTTAATCACTCCTGACGATGTTGGGGTCTGACTCACACAAAATACTCCCATCCAGACACTCAAGGCAATTAACTCTACCAGTGATACGTATATATACATTTTTTTAAACCCAAAATCAAGTCCAATTTATTTGACAAATTGGAGTAGTGGTTCCACACCTGTGCGTCTCTGGTGTCTTAACAGAAGGATAAAGCTCAGGGTGAACACTGCCCACTGCTTAGTTATGTGGGCTGGCCACCGGAGCCCTTAATGATCTCTTGAACACACACACACAGAAAGCCCAAAGTATTTAACCAATTCAAGTCCAATTATTATCAGTTACATCGCATTCTTTTTTTTTCAGATCCAGGCCTCCCAAAGGCAACAAACACAGACGAATAGAGCTCATAAAAGTCAAGAGCCTCTATTGTAAAGCTTCCAATTCAAGTCCTTTGGCGTCCTGACCATCCTCAATTTAAAATCAAACACCCAAACAAACTCTCCAGGAGGCTAGTGGGTAACCTGCATCGCCCCACGTCCCTTCTGCATTCTTGAACTCAGCGATTAAAAAGTTTGCGGTGCCCCCACCCTGGTACGTCCCATCCAGTGGGAAAAACCCTTTAAGAGCCACGAACAAAGAGCAGATCACCAGAAAAGCCCCAGAATTATACTCCTGCTCCCGATCACCGCTGTGGTGAGCTCCCTGCTAAAATAAAACCCGCCCGTCTGCAAAGGACTTTATGGATCTCACGAACGCTGCCAAATAACAACAAAGGAACTCCAGCGAAACTAGGATCTCTCCGTATGAAACCAGAGCTTTGCGATTCCAGGTCCGCTGCCTTCTTCTCCTACCTCCCTCTGCCTCATTAACTCCGTTGGCATGTCACTAATTTCAAAAGAGCAGGGAGAGGCCAGAAGATTGGGGGGGGTGGGGGACACAGAACCCTCTGCCTGCCTGTCAGCTTCCCAACCCAAGTACAGGACACACACAGTGACTCCAGACCCTGGCCGAGCCGTACCTTGGTTTGGAGATAATGAGGGTAGTAGTAGCTGTACTGGGGGTACATTTGTGGCTGATCCAAGCGTTTGCCCATGTAGCTGGAATCTTTATCTCCGAGGCAGGGAACTGGATGACCAGGTGGAGTACCCCCAGGCCGAGCGAGCTTCCTCTCCAACCACTATTCCTGACAGTCCCGATGACTGGTGAGCTCCAGCGACTCCACCACTCGCTAATTCCGACACAGCAAGAATTTGAAAAAAAAAAAAAAAAAAAAAAACAGCAACCGAAAAAACCACACACACCCCCCCTCAAATTAAAAAGAATAATAAAAACACACAAAGAAAAGGTAGGGAGTGGAATTGGTAGGGGAAAAAAAAAAAAAACGCACACACAGCCTTTCGGATCTTGTAAGGCTTCTCCCAGCTGCCAGGCTTTACTTGGGATGAGGCTCCAACAGAGCTGTAGTGATGTCAATTACCAGCGTTTGTAAGAGGCAAAAAAAAAAAAAAAAAAAAAAATCAAAGTCCTTTTAGCACAACTCCGAATCCTTGAAGATCTACTTCCTGCCTCTTATTCTTCTCTTTTCCCAGCTTAAACAAAAAGAAAACAAAACCAAGAAAGAGAAAGGAAAAGAGAGGAGGGTGGATAAAAGATATTAGAAAAAAGAAAAGAAGAAGAAGAAAAAGAAAGAGGAAAAAGAAAATAAAAACAAAAACAAAAAAACAAAACAAAACAAAAAAAAAACCTTGCACAGCTTAGTTGCTGCTGTCTGCCTCCCAGAGTGACATGGTGTTCGGGGCTTGTCCGGTCCTTTCATTCACTTCCCCTCCTTCCAGCCGGTGGGTGGAACAAGAGAGTCTCTCCAGGGAGCAGCGTACACAGACCAGAACGCTGCAGTATTTCCTCCAAGAAAAAAAAAAAAAAAGGCTGCTTCAACCCCTGCTGCAAGCAAAGTTGCGATTCCCTCTGCTGGCTATCTTGAATAGCAAAGCGATTTTTGCAGCAAAGCTGTTGCCGCTGGAACTCAACCTGGAGAACTCCAATGCAGACGCTGGATTCTCTCTCTGTCCTCCTCCCCTCCAACGACCCTATTCTCAAGTTCCAAGGAATGCCACACTGCTCGCTAAACAAAACACCAGGAGCAAGGACGAAAAGAGAAGGGATGCAGGATAACGGGGAAAAACAACGAGGGCAGAGGAACCAACCTGGCTGGTTCAAGTGGGGAAAGAAAAGTATGTCCCAGCGCTTTCAAAACTTGTTAACCTGCTAAGACCAGATAGATCCAAATCTGGTGGAGAAACTAACCTTGTACTCCCAGGACCACATAAAGTATTTCAGGAATTCTGGGGTCCTCTCCAGGACAATTAACAAGCCATCATTGGATTGGATTTATCAGCTTGGTGTACCAGAACAAATAAGTCACAGCTCCCTATCCAGTCTAGAAAACTCAAAACAAGTGATCCCTAAGATCTGATTCATTATAAATAAAATCAGTGTTTCTCCCATTTGTTTCTCTTTTTTAACTATTATGATGCATGGATGCTTTCAAAGCTTCACTTGTTTGATCTCAAAAAAGAACAAAAATCTTAATTGCTTGGCAGAGTTTTTCTCCCCCAATAATAATATTCTGCCTCGTCGATCAGCTGCTACATTATAATATAAATTGTTCCAGAGGAAAAAAAAATATATTTCCTTTAAGGATTCCTTTTCAAGGCGGGCAAGGCTAAAATTAGCCGTGCCAGCTGTGTTTTGCTGCGAGTGCTCACGCATGCCCACAGCGGGGGCAGACCAATTCTGTGCTCCTCTCAACTTCGTCAAGTCAGCTCTGTTCTCCCAAACATGGAGTTGCCTTTTCAGATAAAAGGCCCCTGGTACACATCCAGCTTTCAAGTCAGAAGGAAAAGGAGACTAGAGCCCGAAGCACAGATGGTAGTCCTCCATTCACAAACCATGCCATCTCTAGGGATGTGCAAGCGCATTCCTTCGAAAAAGATAAGGATGGTACACAGATATAGGTCTTGATTTTTTTCAAAAAGGGATTTATGTTATATTCATTAGAAAGGCAGATCAGATTTACAGAGAAAAAAGACAGAGAAAAATCTTCTACCTGCTAGTTCACTCCCCAAATGGCAGTAAGAGCCCAGAGCTGAGCTGATCCCAAGCCAAGCCTCTTTCAGTCTCCTGTGTAGGTGCAGGGAGTTCAAGGCTTTGGGCCATCCTCTGTTACTCCCAGGCCACATGCAGGGAGCTGAATTAGAAGTGGAGCAGCGGAGATACAAGCCCGCACCCCTATGGGATCTCAGTGTTTGCAAGGTGAATAGTGATGGAGCCATTGGGTCAGGCCCATGTCTTACTTTTGACAAGAATAACAATCACGAGGAAGAAAGAAGAAGGGTGCGAAGGACAGTGTCCGTAGTCTGACAACATGACAATTGAAAAAATTCTTTAACCCTGCAAATATTTTCATTGTGTAGTTCCAAGCCTCAGTTATTCCCTCTGTACAATGGAGAAACTGGCAAATTACTTGTCTGAAGGCAATAAAGTAAATCAGACTCTACACCACACTGTATCTTGATTGGAAATTCCTTCAGTGATACCACTTGGCTCAGACATCAACATTTTCAATTCCATGGACCAGTTATAAAGTCCTGTAGCAGGGCCCAGTGCGGTAGCCTTGCTGCTGAAGTTCTCACATTGCACAAGCCGGGATCCCAAATGGGCGCTGGTTCTAATCCCATCTAGTTCCCTGCTTCTGGCCTGGGAAGGCAGTCTAGGATGGCCTAAACCCTTGGCACTCTGCACCTGCGCCAGAGACCCAAAAAGAGGCTCCTGGCTCCTGGCTTCAGATTGGCGTAGGTCTGGCCATTGTGGCCACTTAGGGAATGAATCAGTGGATGGAAGCTCTTTCTCTGTCTCCCCTCCTCTCTGTATAGTTGTCTTTCCAAGAAAAACGAAATAAATCTAAGAAGAAAAAAAAAAGAGTCTTGTGACAAACTGACTAACGTTTACTCCCTGCTACAGTATTGACCTTTCACCCTGTTTCCCACATGCAGCACCGAGTCACACTGAGTGACTTTTTGGCCAGCAAGATACCATCACCAGGGCCCTCTGTCCTCCCCTTTGCAGGAGGAGGTCTCTCCCAAGCCCCATTCTCTTCCTCTTTGATTGTGGCTTGAACATGGATCGCTCGAGCAGTTGTTTTTTAAAATCTGGCTTCCTGGCTGTGGTTGATATTCACGCTAAGAGAATGCCTGACCTGATGTTTTCATCGGTTTGTTGTTTATTTCTTCCATGATACGTTTCGTTCTTGGAGGGTAGATTCCACCATCCTGGTTCACTTTCACTGTTTCTACAAACTAGCATAGCACCTGACACAGACAGGCACTCAAAAGGTGTCGGTAAAAGAAAATCATTTAAAGGTGATCCAAACGATTAACCCAAAACTTATTTCCTCCTTTCGAAATGTCACAGTTGCAGTCCTTGCCACAGGTGATAAGCCGATCTGGGTACAGGGCATCTAGAGAGATCCGAGTCAGAGCCACTCCCGGAGTGCATCCCAGCGGAAGAGATCAGCAGAAGGGAAATAAGTAAATACACGATGTAAGAGCAGAAGATATTTAAGAGTGCAAGGAAATAGACAGCAGCATGATACAAAATGAGTCACAGACCGTACTTTCAATAGGACGGCTTGGCAAATTCTCTCTATAGCAGAAACGTGAGCCATGATCACATGGCACAAACCAAGCCTGGGCAGAGTGTGCCATGAGAGTATTCAACGTCTTAACCTTGGCCTTCAACCCAACCTGCTGCACTTCAATACCACCTGTGCTCCATCCACCTGCCTTGATTTGTTCATCAGTCAAATGTCACCATTCGCTTCTTATATGACGATGAGAATAAACCAATAAGCCTTTAGAATCCTTTGTCATACATGGGACATACTCAGATGCATGCCTATCGGTAAAAGAGAACGTGAGGCCACCGCGGGGAGGCGTCTGGACAATGTTTAAGATGTGCCGGGGAGCGAGGGGCAAAAGAATCACAGTTAGGATTAGCACAATAATAAATTCAAACCCAGTGTTCTGATGCCCGATCAGACATCCCCCACTGTAGAATGTTGCAAAGCTAAATGACCAATAAATGTTCCCCCAAATTCTCAGACCTGTAACAGTCAGATTATATACTGCTTTTGTGATTTCTGTCACTGTGGACCACAGATACCAGGAGGCTTTTATTAATAACTGGGCTGGATCCTCCTCTAAGGGAACAGGACACTGCCTTATTTACAAATGAAAGGCCAAATAAATAACTCCTCAGTCAACACTACAGCCCACTTATATGCAAAGTTCCCAGCATGTGTTGATGCTATCAGCAATTTCTGCACAAATTGCCACTTTGCACAACGCTATTCTATTTCATTGTATTATTGTAATGTTCTGGGCATCAATTGTCATTAGCCTAAGAACACTCATTGCACATTTAAAGCTTTTCTTAAGTAATGCAAAGTGGGTTTACTGCTCGTGAGGATTGTAAAACCTGTGTTTTTATTTTTAGTTTTTATTTTTTTTTCCACCCCTCAGAGATACCAGTAGCCATGGCAATTCAGGAGGCAAGACAGTCATGTCAGAAATAGTTTTTATATCATTTCTGCTCTGCTGGAGCAGTAGCACTTTCCATTTAAATGATCAAGTTAAGGTAGGAGGTAACTGGTTTAAGGCAGTGTCTAAATCAGAAGCCAGCTGTGTCCCATTTGCCAACTAACCAACAAACTTCCTACAAAACGAAGAGCAGCAAACAGCATCAGAGGGCATGGGTGTTCACAGATTGATGCAACTCCTGGACCAGAGAGAAGATACACTCATTTAGGACTGAGAAAGTGCTTTTAGGCATGCTTCTGGAAAGTTCTGGAAGTGATGGTGGAGAAAGGAAGATGTTATGGGTCAGTAGAAGACTTTCTTCTGCTTCACACTTAACCTACCTACGCAGAGAGCAGCTGGGTCCTCTCCTAGGGTATTATTTTTTTAAGTGATAAAGAACTGATGAAAAAAGTAAATGAAACGAACAATGAAGATGTAAGGAAAATCTGTAATGGTATTATCTCAAAAGCAGGTATGCTATTTGATCTTCAAGAACATTCTGACCTTGAATACATTTTTTAACTTGACATTTTTGCCTTCCTTATTCTAATTTATGAAATCCCTTTTTAATACAGCAGTTGTCAAAGGAATGTTAAACACAAAGTTAGTTAAAAAAAAAGACGACAGATTGCAAATTCCAACACGAAAGCAATATTAT